TGTTAAATTCAATGATAAAGATTGAACGTATAGATATGAGTAATAATGTATTGCAAAGTTGGGATATCTCAATTCAAAATGCAAGAAGTCTTAATCATATAAATTTGTCTAGAAACCGAATACAGACACTTTCGAAAGGTAACATGGAAGAGCTCGACACAATTGCCAAGTCAAATTCAGTTGAGATAGATCTGTCTGAAAACACGTTGCTTTGCACGTGCGAAACAAAAGATTTTCTCCAATGGATGTTCATAACGCGAGTATCAATTATAAGAAGAGACGAGTATTTATGTACATTCAGCAATGGTAGTGTCACTTCATTAAATAACCTGGAATTCATTGTGAAAAGTTTAAAATCGCAGTGCGTACCATCAAAGACTGCCTTAATTATAGGTATGAATGTATTAAGTGTATGCCTTCTTACATCAATGGTGCTAGTGTTTAAATTCCGATGGCGAATCCAACATTGGTACTATAAAAGACGTTTTATTCTTACACTCAATTATGTCGAAATGGTTCAAATGTTTACATATGATGTTTTCATTTCCTATTCTGCGGATGATTTTGAAATAGCCAGAAATGAGACGATGGAAGAGTTGGAATCAAGACGAGGCATTAAAGCTTGTATCCATGAAAGAGACTTTCAACCAGGTGAATATATAGCTGAAAATATTTCAAGAGCGATTCATAGTAGCAAGAAAATTATCCTCTTTATATCAAAGAATTTCCTTGGGAGTGAATGGTGCGCGTACGAGCTAGATATTGCTTTGATGGAAGAAATGCATAGTGGGCGAAGAGTTATCATGGCTATCATGGTTGAGGATGTTCCAAATACGAAACTCCCAAGTGGACTGCGACACATTGTTGATACATATACGTACTTGGAGTATCCTAAAAATAGAACAGAATATGACATAAACGTGTTTTGGAACAAATGTGCAGAATTTATTCAAGAAAATTGATTATTCTATACGTAAAAGATCGCCCTAACACCTGAACAATCACAAAAAGAAACGAAATATATCAATTTGTGTTCTTCAAAAACTCAAAGCATATAAAATCGAAGAAATCGACTGCAATTGATCTTAATGACATTCTAAAATACCGAAGAGCGACTGACAACTTCTTTGCAATTTTTCCCAAATGTTTATTGGGGATTTCCATACGAAGCATTGACTTTGCCATACTTACAAAAGGTGGTAGGCATGTATATCAATAACTACTCTTTAACTATCAACTGGATTTCAATAAAAAAAATTAATCCTAGACTATCTCTTTCATGAGACAAATGTACACTCCCTATTTATTTTTATCCCAATCGTTTTTGTGATTTCCTATAGGATTTTTGTGGTGTCATCTAGTAATAAATTGGCTTTTCTGTATCTACAAAACGGGTATTCCTAAGAAACAGCTTTACAATTTCAATATAAACTGAAAGGGTTTGGACTTGTCAAAAACAAGAGGACCAAAGAAGCCAGATTAGTTAATTTCACTTTCAGATGTATTGATGATGTTTTTTCCATAAACAATCCGAACTTTTCTGATTGGGTTCCAATAATATATCCCCCAGAACTAGAAATTAAAGAAACAACAGACACGGCTTCCTCCGCCTCATTTTTAGACTTATACCTCGAATTTGACATACACAGCAGGCATGGGGCGAATTATATTGCAATGTAATGCATTATATTACAATTACTTTGACCAAACCATGCATTATATTACAATTACAATTACATGCATTTATCAAAGTAATGCATTATATTACAATTACTTTTGCAAAGTAATGCCTTGAATTACACATTACATTTGAAAATTTTATTAAGTGAATAGAAAAATTAAACATTTTGAAAAACAACTAGAAGTCACAAAAGATTCTAGCATATGCAGTAACTGTTCCATGAATTGAATATAAGTATACATGTAAAAAGTCTATTTAATTCGACTTTTACAATTTTAATTATTTTAACTTAATGTTGACTTTACTTTTATAAATATACTTTTTGTTGTTTTTTTTTAAATTTTAAACGAAATATTTAATTACTGTGAATTACTTCCATAATTATAAAATAAACATATACCTTAATTAATGAACAATTGTCTAAATGGTGAAAATATTGATTGTAAAACAAACCAATTAGTGTTTTATAACAAAGTTTAATTATCTTTTATTTAAGCAAGACAAGATATTCTTTGATCTTATGACAACAATACAGTTATGCTTTTCATAAATCAATCTTTTTATGCAGGAAAATGTATGAAATAAGATGAAATAAAGAATATATTCTAATGATTAACATATTCTTAGTTAATCAAAAATCTTAAATTTGGTTTAGTTAAAACTCCAACAATATGTTAAAGATGTAGTATGTGAAAAAAGTAATGACATGTAATGCCATGTAATGCATGAAATTACAAAACTTTTTGCTAAAGTAATGCATTATATTACAATTACACGTAATGCACAAATTGCTGCATTACACATTACATGCAATTACTTGGAAAAATGTAATGCATTACCATGCATTACAATTACAAATTTGCATTACCCCATGCCTGATACACAGTCATCTCAGTACCAGAATCTATGACAAACGAGACGATTTTAATTTTAAAATTATCAATTTCCCCCACCTTAGTAGCAATATACCAACTTCACCTACATATAGGATATACATTTCCCAACTCATTCGGTATGCAAGAGATTGCAGCTCCTACTGAGACTTTGTAAAACGTCACCAGTGTCTGAGCAAAAAGTTGATGAACCAGGGGTATGTTAAAGAACGTCTCGTTCTTTTTCTAAAAAGTTCATCGGAAGGTACCAAGACCTTGTTGATAAATATTCCGTATCAACATCACAAATAATACATGATGGTCTTGAAGTATAGATTCTGCGTACTGACGCTGTTTATCATCTTAATAACGTGTTAAAGTGTTCTTTTATTTGTCTTTATTAATATTACTTTTACTGTTTGGTCTGTTTTGGTGATATACATTTGACGTGGCTCTGTACTTATGCATCCCGTCATTGTGTTGTTTGTATCATTTTTCATTTTTACTTGTGTGCTTTGTCCGTGTGACTTTTTATGTTTCTTTGATACATATGACGTGTCTCTGTACTTTAAACATCCCGCCATTGTGTTATTGCTCTATTATAATTTTTGCATACTTTTAACGACAAAATTATTTTATATCTCTACCTGTGTGACGTTTACGTTCTTACGTCAAACACGCTATTCTACGCCAGAGTTATTGTTAAAATTACGATTCGGTCCCAGTGCTTAAAATCCCTCGATCCTTTATAGGTTGATTTGGCATACATGAATAAAATACAAAAATAAGTTAGCAATGAACGAGGTTGTTAAATGTGATATATGTTTTTTTGTGCTTCTTTGTTAAATATTTGTTTGTTTTTGTTGTGATTAAGATTGTGACACGATGTTGACTGCTGTACCCCTATTTTGACATTTTTACCTATTGTGTCTGTTTGTTTTATTCACGCATCGTTGTCAATATAATGGAATTTGATGCGACTGTCATACAAGTGAGAGGTTAAGCGCTATAAAACCAGGTTCAATCTACCATTTTCTACATAAGAAAATGCTTGTACCAAGTCAGGAATATGACAGTTGTTGTCCATTCGTTTGATGTGTTTGTGCTTTTGATTTTGACATTTGATAAGGGACTTTCCGTTTTGAATTTTTCTCGAAGTTCAGTATTTTTGTGATTTAACTTTTCACTAACAGAGCAAGATCAGTTTACCCTTCTAAAACATTTAATTCACCACTGGTTTTAGTGGAGTTCGTATTGCTCATTCTTTACTTATTTCGGTTGTTTGCCTTTTCGACTATTTTTTAAATTGGCAACTATACTTCGACTAACGAGTTCCTATATTGAATCATTGGTATGTTCAATTTTTTATCGATCAGTTTTATCGAGGTCTGGAACTAGCATGTCAGAAACTGCTAGTAGTCCTTTTTTAATTTATGTTGATCATTGTCATTTTGCTGAATAAACTTATTCTTAAAGGTTATCAATTTAACTCAGTAAAATTTTTATATATTGTTTTTATTGGTACTGATTAACATTATTTTTTTTTAAATTAAAACATAATTAAATATACATTGCTATATATGAACCTATACAACCTGACGTAACTGTTTACTTATATTTTGGCATTGCACAAGGTCATGCATTTCTCAGACTGTTTATGACGTCTTTATACTAAACATTCGGATGTGTAATGATTGATACTTTAGTTTGGGAGAACAAGATTTATTTATTAGTTCTAATTGGTTTGAACTAGCTTTCAGTAACTGTGAGTACTCTTATTTCGGTGCTTTGTGACTATTTTTTTGTGCCTCGTACTGATCATTTGAGGTAAGCCAATTTCAACTGATTTTTACAGTTTTTTCTTATGTTGTGCTGTAACACCGCTGCCCCATGTTGGGGGGAGGGATTAGCGCTAAAACAAACATGTCTAACCCGCCACATTCTTTATGTGCCTGTCCCAAGCCAGAGGGTGGTATTTCACTGGTTGTCGTTTGTTCATGTCTGTCATATTTGTTATTTCCTAAATTGTTTTGTTATAAATTAGGCCGTTAGTTTTCACAGTTGAATTGTTTCATATTTTTCATGTCGGGGCTTTTTATAGCCTACTACACGGTATGGGTTTTTCTCATTGTTGAAGGCCTTACGGTTGCCTATAATTGCTTACATTCACTTCATTTGAACTTTGGTGGATACTTGTCTCATTGGCAATCATACCACATCTCCTTATTATATTTTAAACAGATAATTTAGAAACAATGTACAATTGTGGTTTCGAAATTAATTTTAATCAATATGGTTAACGACGGAACAATTAAATTTGTCAGTTTTGTCATAAATAGGTTACTCTTTTGTTATCACATAGTAACTTTTTCCACTGAAAATGCGGAAGTATAATTTGAAAAACCGATCATATTCCTTTACATGTGTCATGTGTTGTACTTGTTTATTTAATTTGACCCTAAATAAAGCCTATGGACTTTTCACTTGCATCAGGTTTACATTCTTTTATGTCAACTTATGATTATATATACGAGGTATATAGCACCACTTGGATAATTCGAGCCTCATATTGATAATTATCTGTGGTATGTGACTTTTTCTAAAGAATACTTATTTAACATATTTTAGTCATAAACATTGTGGTTTTGAAATGTAATGCAGACAATCATATCAAATTCATGTCTTAAATACTTTTATATATTCGACAGTCCCCTTCTTGATGAACATATAAAGCGAACAATACACATTTCTAGATTTTACCTGTTTAAATTTGTTGAATTTATACATATGGATATCAGGGTTGGCAAAGTATTACCCAGGCGGGAAAACCCGGGTGGGAAAACCCGGTTTTTCCCGGGCTGGGCAATACCCCCATAAATGGGTAATACTGGGTAATACTGGGCAATATGATTTTTTTAGCTTATTTTTACTCAGAATAGTAAAGACTTGTTGTAGTTTATAGTATTATAGCTAAATATATACATTTTATACAGATAACCATTGAGAGTCATTTCTAGAGGATTGAACATTCAATTTCTTCCTTTTCTCCAATAATTCTATGTAGCGGCAGAATACAAGTTTTGCACATTTTAGGATATCTTTTAATTTACAAGCTTTGTTTCAATAATCCAAACTTTGAAAAAAAGCATTATATGGAAGTGTTTAAGTGAATTGTAAATTTTAATTGTTATACAATCATATTGCTAAATAAACACCTTAAGGGGACATGTCATAAATACTTATAGAAATGAAAAGGCTGATTATTGTTATATAAACAAATCTGTGTTCTAATCTGAATAATTACTTATTAATCAGTGATATACATAGATTAACTACTTAGTAAACATTTTTAGCAAGGAAAAACATTGTTTAAAATTAATTTTCCTTGCATATCTTTGTTAATTCTAAATAGTTATATATATTTAAAACAAGTGATCTTATAAATTAAAATACTATGTTTTATTTTTATACGCCCGTTTACGGGACGTTTTATGGTATACCGTTGTCCGTCCGTCCGTCTGTCCGTCCGTCGTCAACATGTCGGACATTAACTAAAAAACGCTTGTGCTCTTCTCTACTTTTTGTAATGTCAGTAGAAATAATGGCCAACCAACTAAGGCAAAACAAAAATATAAGAGGCATAGAATTAAAAATTGATAGTAAAACACATAGCTTGAAAATCACGCAAGTTGCTGATGATACAACTCTATTCCTCAAATCGAAAGAAGAAATCCGAACAGCATTAAATGTAATCGAAATTTTTGGAACTTTTTCCGGACTACAACTAAATAAAAATAAAACAGAAGGAATCTGGATTGGTAAACTCAAACATTGTAGAGATAAAGTAGATGAAATAAATTTCACGGATAAATCCGTAAAAGTGTTAGGAATATTTCGGCATTAATAAAAAAGATTGTGAAAAATTGAATTGGGATACTAGATATGAAAAGAGTCGAAATCTAATTACATCGTGGAAAAAAAGAAACTTAACAATTTTAGGTAAAATTCTAATAGTTAAAACCCTCATTATACCACAATTTACTTTTTTAGCGAACGTTACAGTTTTAAGTAACTCAAATATACTTGAACTAGAAAGAGAAATCTTTAGTTTTATATGGGATGGTAAAAAAGATAAAATCAAAAGATATACATTGGTAGCAGATTACAACCAGGGAGGGCTAAATATGATCGACATAAGAAGCTACTTCTCCTCTCTTAAGATAAGATGGGTCTCTAGGTTGCTACAGGCAAAACAAGAAAATTGGACATTGATCCCAAAGCTTTTAAACAAATGAGGGGAAAATTTCCTTATTTTTAGAATGAACTTAAATAACCAAACCTTAAAAAAACTAGATATAACTAAGGATATTCCAGATTTTTACTTAGATATAATAAAAAGTTGGATTTTAATTCATGAAACGAAAAACACAGAACTGAAAAACTTTGTCGAGATAAGAAAGCAAGTTATCTGGGGTAATAAATTTATCAAATTTCAAAACAAGCCGCTTATTATGCATAATTGGATACACAGTGATTTCATTTATCTTAATGATATTATTGACGACAAAGGAAAAATTGCCCACGAAAAACTATTTAAAAAACTGCAAAACACTAAAAATTGGATTTCAGAAATTTCGATAGTCAAAAAAGCAATACCAACCTCATGGCTAAAAGTTTTAGCCACGAAAGAATCCATCAAATCAAATGTAAATTTTAACAGATTATTTATCAATATAAACAAAGAAAACATTGAATTTGAAAATTTAAGCAACAAAAAGGCATATCAATACCTCGTTCCACAAAAAATTTCTCCAAACATCGGCATACTGAATAAATGGAAAAAAGAACTAGAAATCAATTACAATTTTACCAAATATACGTTTAAATTTATACACCAACATTTAAAACTGAATAAACTTAAAATGTTTAGATGGAAATTGATAAGCTGCATTCTCCCAAATGGAGAAAATCTCTACAAATGGAAAATCGAATCTAGCCCATATTGTCAACTTTGTCAACTTAAAGACACGTATCATCACTTTTTTATTGAATGTAAATTTCTAAAAGAATTTTGGAAAATTATAAATAAAATTTTATCTCAAATGAACTTTAATAAAAAAAATCAACTTAAAAGATATAGTAATAGGCTACAAAATAACAGATAGCGAGTATATCGGATTCAATATAATTCTGACAATTATAGGATTTGCAATCTACAAATCGTACTATGTATCAAACCAAAGAAATATAAATCTACTAATGTATTCATTCTCTTTAAATTGATAAACGAGATGACAGTAGATAATTTATTTCGGATTAGTGTATCATATTATTATTGAACATTGTATTTAATTGTAAAAAAACAGTAGATAATTAATTTCAGATTAGTATGTCATATTATTATTGAACATTGTATTTAATTGTACTATTACTAATATAAAATATAACAAAATACTACTTATCTATATGAAACCCTGTTCTTATAGATATTAACAATATTGGGGTACCTTACTGTTAAAGCTGTAGCGGTAAGGTCATTGTTAACAGCTTTAGTGCAATAAAACTTTATTCAAGTGCTAAAAAAAAAAAAACAAAAAAAAACTAAAAAACGCTTTAAATAATATGCATGAAACTTTGGTGAATTGTTTATATCCATTGACGTGAGCTCCCTTTCGTTTTTTATAAATTTCAGATTTACCGTTTCTGAGTTTTGGGGTTTTATTCATTAAAAAGTGGGTGATTTTCCAGTTTTCCGACAATAACTCAAGAGTGCTTTCACCAACTTGCAAGACATTTTGGTGAATTGTTTATATCTATTGACATGAGCTCCCTTTCGATTTTTATAGATTTTAGATTTTACTTTTACGAGTTACAGGGTTTTATTCATAAAAAAGGTGGATTTTTCCAGTTTTCGGACAATAACTAAAAAATGCTTTCTGCAGTTCTCATGAAACTTTGGTGAATTGTTTATATTTGTTGATATAAGCTCTCTTTAGAATTTAATAAATTTTAGATTTTACATTTCTGAGTTATGGGGTTTTATTCATTAAAAAAGGGGGGATTTTCCAGTTTTTGGACAATAACTCAAAAAATGCTTTAAGCAGTTCGCATGAAACTTTGGTGAAATATTCATAGCTATTGATGTAATCTCTCTATTGATTTTCATAAATTTCAAATATGACACTGAGAAGAAATTGAACTTTATTTGTTTATAGTCTGACAACAGATTTACTAAGTATTGCGCAACAGCACAGTGTATTGCACAACAGCAAGAAATCTTTAATTGAATATAAATTCAATTCATATAACCAATTTCAAGTTCTTTGACTACATTTATTCAGAAACCTATAATATGTCAAATATTTAATTACAATCCAAATTCAGACCTGTATCAAGCTTGAATATTGTGTCCATTTTTGCCCCAACTGTTCAGGGTTGGACCTCTGCGGGCGTATCCAGCTGCGCTCAGCGAAGCAGTTTATTATTAATATCATAATCTTTAATGTATTGCAGTTACGATTAATCACTGAATCCTATTTAAAATTCAGGTCAGTATTTCATATTACCAAGTATTACCCAGTATTGCCCAGTATTACCTAGCATAAAATGTAATTATAAGAAATTAATGCTTCTTTTAGTAATTTGATAGGGTTTTAAAAGTGTTGATCGTGCACACATTTTTAGATTTTTAGAATGAAACGCTCCCGCGCTTTATACAAAACTTGCTTCGGTCAACACTTTAACACCCCAATAAAATTACAAAAAGAAGCATTCATTTCTTAAATAATAAATGCAGTGTAATATTTAAACTAAATATGTTTTAAATGTTTGATTTGTTTGCATGTAACCCAATGACATCATATTAGCATTTTTAAGATAGGCCAAGTATCATTAAAAGAATAGACTTATATTAACCAACTCAATTAGGATTAACAATCTTACGCTTGAAAGTTTTAGTAATCTTTCGGCAAATGATAAGTAACTACCGTTTTTCTGATTTTTATAAAATGGTGTATGCATTTAGAACTTGTTGACTTGCATCTGGATATCGAAAAAGATTAAGTTACATCTATATAATTAATTTGTGAAACAGCTGGGGCCACGTCAATGAAAATATCCTAGAATTAGGACATTGTTTATGATGGTTTGAGGGCTATCCTAAGACCATCGTAAGACACCAAATGAAGAACCAAATTTAGAACATATCTTATCTTAGGAGACTTTCGTTAACCTGACTTAGGACTAGGACGTGCCATAATACCATCCTAAGACAAGTCCTAGTCCTAAGACAGGTTCGTTGACACGGACCAAGATCTATAAATGCATAGTTTGTAGGTAAAAAGCGGCGAAATAATTCTTTTTATATGGGATCAGCGGATACATTTTTTCGTTAATATGTAGTGTAAAATTAGCACCAAAAGGACAAAATAAGCGTAAAGTGATGGTTTCACGCTGACAAATAGTTTATACATCTCTGAAACTGAAATGATTTCGAATTCGGTTACCTATTATTTTCATATCAAAAATAACAGCTGTAACATATAATTATTTAGCAAATTTTCAGAAATGGCAATTTAAAGTGATTTTTTTTATTAGTATTCGCGCCTCTTTACGTACTTTTTATATACAGTTATAGACCAATTTCATAATTTTTAAAATTTTTTTCTAGAAGTATAAATGCTACATTTATTTTTTTCGGCAATAAGTTGCAGCTTATCAATTCTAAATCCAATATACCACCAATTACGTATACTTCGCCTCAGTATAGATTTACGAAATATAAATTTTTGTTCAAAAGATTCATGTTTTTTTTATCTTAAACAATGCGCTTTTTTAATATCAGACAAAAATCGTGTCCATGTTTCTTTTACATTTTATCAATTTGTTATTTCTGACGGAGTCATTTAAAAAAGTTCACTTTATCCAACATCTTGCTTTCATTTTTTTCCATCAAAATAAACGATAACATACAAAAGAAAATATTAAACACATCAAATCTAAGCCTACTCTAAAATGGTTGCATTTGCTTCAAAGTGAATAAGAAGTTCACTGTTTCTATTACTGTCCACAGAGAAGACCGTATATTGACCTCTAGATTCTTTGTTTCTTTTGTGTTGCTGGGAAACTGTTTCATTGATACATACCCTATATCTCCTTTTGTTCAAGGTCAAGCAATTCTGAAACAACTGCAGGTTGAATATCCTGCAGATTGTTTCAATGAATCAAATTGTCGAAAAGGTAAGATTTTTTAGGGATCTGTTTATACGAGAGACACTGTATTTGCTGCGCATCACGGTGCGGAGCTATTAGTTTCAGTCGATATACACGCCATCTTGAAATAATTACTAATCACATATAGATTCTGATTGGTTGCTTTATGATGCGGCTGAGATACAGCAACAGCTATTGGCTTAAATGAGATAAAGAATTACAGACTTTTCTCGTCTCAGGATAAGACATCAAATGCCGGAAAATTAACTATGTGTATTTCAGTTCCGATCAACTGTCATTAATTCATGTTCGTTTTATTATGCATATATTGCACACTGAAATTCAATATTGAAATATCAATTATTGATACGTGTTTATTTGCTTTGTTAATCTGCAATATGCACGATTTGTTTTGCTAAACAATGTTCCTATACAATGTTTACAAAAATGCATTATCTGTATTTTATAACTTCTGCCAATCTAGGCACACCTGCAGAGAGGCACACCTCCAGAATACTAATTCAACAACCACATGCACACATATTACCTTAAATTAGGATAGAGCGACGCTTTTTAGAAAGCTCAAACTTGTTATAGTTATTAATGTTAGTAATACAAATGTAAGACACAAGCATACTTACAATTCTATTAAATTTGAAATTGTTTTTGTTTTTGTTTGTTTTTAGCCAAATAACATGTGATACTGTATATAAAAGATATATAGTCATATTCGAATTACTATAAAACCCATAGATTTAACTTTTGTATTATTTTTTTTTAATGAAAATATCTTTGAGCTCGCATGGGACTAAAGCCTAAAATTTTAATTGAAATATAATACATTAAACTTTAAAATATGTTCGGCTAGTCTGAAATAGAGATCAACTACCGCCTTTTTTAAGAGAAGGAAATTAAATAGTCTTTGTTCGAAGTTTGAATAATAACTACGGTACAACATGTATGCTAACGAACGTTAATACTTAAACTTTACAATTGTAAAGCAATTCAAATATGATTATCATACATATCATTAAACTTTACAATTTTTATTAGGTAAATAAAGTCCTGCAGTCATGAAGATAAATACAGTTGATCAACTCTAATAGGATTACAAGAAGGCGTTTGCCTTGTCCTTGCACAATGACCAATAATGACTTGACTGTGACTCTCATATTGTTGTTTGGTAAAATTTCAAGTTTAATTTCATGGAACAAGCAAAAATTGGGTCTTATGTTTTTACTGGGTGGCAATATTAAGAGTGATACACTTAGTCAAGTCACAGTAGATGTTTATTAGATAAAAATGGAATGTGAGAAATATAGTTTATATGAACCACATATTATTTAATCAACTGACACTCTTTATTTTCAGACATATCTTCAAAAGTGAAAAATAAATTAAGATATGATGTTATTCTGCATTCTAATCTTTAACCTGGAAATGGTAACTGGATTCAATGTATTAACTTTAGATGTTTTTACCGAGAAGATCAATAATACAGAACATTTCAGATCGGAATGCAAAGTAATAAAGAAGGAAAAAGAAGTGTTTGTTGACTGTGCAGGCAGAAACTTAACTTATATTCCATCGATTCCTAAGTTTACGACATCTTTGGATCTTTCAAATAATGCTATCGTTGAAATGTCGAATTCTTCGGTCTTTAACGGAATGTCAGTATTACAGAGAATAGATTTGTCGAACAACCCATTAGAAGAAATAGCCGTTCAAATTTTCAGTGGACTGCAAAATCTTACAGAACTTATCATTCGAAATTCAATGCTTCATAAACAAGATAGAACTCTGATATTGGACGATTTAATCGCAAATTTAAGAAAACTAAGATATTTCAGTTTTACATTTATGTTGCCAAATTCTATAAGTTTCACACCTGTTATTTGTGCACTTCTTTTTCGTACTCAGCCATTCGGTAAAATAGACAAACTTCATTCAGTTGAAAAACTAGAAATTGATTCAGCCTTGTTGAAATTGGAAAGTAATGCAGCTTCAATGGTTATTTTCAATACCACATCACTTCACGTTATCAATGGATTTGTATGTTACCATGATGTACTCAACAAAAAAATGTTCGACTATTTTCCTTTTCTTAAAGAACTTTTCATAGAAAGTCCATTTTTTGTGAAATTCATTAATGACGATTTTGTATCTGCTCAATCTAGGTTGCGTGATTTTTCTATTTATGGTGCAAATTTACCACACCCATCAGGAGTTCAAATAATATACAATATAACGAAGTCTGTTTCTAGAGCATATGATCTGTCGAGTCTAATGATAAACGGTATCTCAAATCACAAGAGACAGGAATTCATCTGTGGTTACCACTTCTGTGATCTCACAGCTTTGCATTCATTAAGAATTTTAAATCTGGAAGCAAATGCTCTTTTTTTGCCAAATGCATACGTGCTACCATGTGACAACTTCCCGACTTCACTTACATATATGAATATTGACGACAATTGTATAAACTCTTTCAATATCAATGTAAATATTCTTCAAAATAACAAGCAATTAGAAAGTTTATCTGCTAAGAGACAAAATAATTGTGCTTTTGTGCGTACACATGCCAGAGTAACACGCAATCCACGAAATAATAATTATGAGGGTAAACGAGTCTACAGTTTAAAAACGATGGTTTTAACAAACTCAATAGACAAACTAGATTTTGGCGAGAAACACGACTTTTATCCGAATCTAACTTATTTAGATTTATCCCTGAACAACAATACAATAGACAATGTAATGCCTGGATTCTTTTGTTCCAGTCGTCCCCATCTTAAGTATTTAAATATTTCTTACAGTAGAATATCTTACATAGAGAAATCATCTTTTTCTAACTGCAGCCATCTAGAATTGTTTGATCTATCGTCAAACCGTATTGGAAACCTTGGTTGTGACTTGTCTGATAGGTTTATTCCCCTGGTTTCGTTGACGGACTTAAGTCTGAAAAGTAATAACATCAAATGTATTCAACAACACTTGCTCAAATCAATGATCAAGATAAAAACATTTGATATTAGTCATAACCTTCTACAAACTTTCAATGTTTCCATCGAACATACAAAACATCTTGAATTTTTAAACTTTTCACACAATCGAATACAAAAATTGTGGGAAAATAACATGCACGAATTGGATACAATTGCGTCGTCAAGGGAGATTAAGATAGATCTTAGTGAGAACATGATGTTATGTACATGTGAAACCCTTCAATTTTTGCGATGGATGGCGAAAACAAATGTAATCTTACTTAATATGAATAATTACATATGCTCCTTTGGAAATGGAAGTGTTACAACCTTACAAGAGCTACCATTCATTGTAAAACATTTACAGTTACAATGTAGGTCAGAAACGGTTCTGATTGCAAGCGTCAGTGTGTTGATTGTTTGTAGTTTGATAGTTATCGTAGTGACGATGGTATATCGGTACCGGTGGAGAATCCGATACTGGTACTATAAACGAAAATTCAAAGCAGCATATACGATGACGGACCAGGGCTATGAACAAATGTTTGAGTACGATGTTTTTATCTCATATTCTTCTGACGATTATGAAATAGCTAGGCATAGTACAATGGAAGAGCTTGAATCAAAACGAGGTTTACGAGCCTGCATCCATGAAAGAGACTTTCAACCAGGAGAATACATTGCACAAAATATTTCAAAGTCGATTCATAGTAGCAGGAGAACTATTCTTTTTGTTTCCAATAATTTCCTTGGAAGTGAATGGTGTCAGTATGAGTTAAACATTGCGTTAATGGAAGAAATGAATAGTGAACGAAAGGTGGTCATGGCGGTTATGATTGACGATATCCCGAGAAAATCTCTGCCAGTTGACCTGCGTCATATTATCCATGCTTACACTTACTTAGAATACCCTAAACATACGACATATTCAAATTTAAACGTCTTTTGGAATAAGTGTGCAGAATTTATTAAAGAAGAATGATTTTGTTTTCGCCTTCAACTTTACACCTTTTTATAAGTTCTGATCACTCAGAAACACACTTGGTTTGGAGCACAATAAAGATTATGATACTGCCACTTAATTAAGATAATTTTTATATTCTTATGGTTTAACTCTTTTTTCTCGGATGACCGACTTTCCCAATTTGAATGTTTTTTCCATAAAAAAGTAAAAAAAAACAATTAAAAATAATTTGTACACTGATAGAACGCCTTGAGTTGAAAGAGATGTTCATTCTTCTGATTCAAATGGTAAATTGAGAACCCCATATCACAAGATGCTTCTCCATATCACAAGATGCTTCTTTTCTTTCAAAGAATAACATTTATTACAAATAAAAGATTTTTTGGCTGGAATTTCCGATAATTTTTAGTTTCATAAATGCCATGTGTGTAAGAAGGAATTTCTTTGTTTAAGTATATCAACGTGAGGTCAAGGACTGCATGTTCCATGCATGATCATCTAATTATATTATCTGATTGGTCAGTTCTTGAGATTAGTAATTAATATCATATTTCTACATGTGCTCGGACATGCGGTCATTCGCCTTTGTCCTGAGAGAGAGAAAAGATCGTTTTTGAATTTTAACTGAAAACCCACCAATTTCCCTCCCTTTTTAGTATTATTATATATAGGACGTTTATTTTACTTTAAAAATCAATGTAATTTAACGATTATATTCATAGTGTAAAAAAGAGTTTATATACTTTGTATATTTTGGTGAGTTAATTTTTTCAACTCATTTCTATTTTTTGTACATTTTATAATGTTTATTATGTTGGGGTGGGGCACTTTTTCAACCCCACCTTTGCTTATTAAACTCATTGTCATTTATGCAGTATATTATTTTTTTTGTAAAGTGTTTATTGGCAAAAGCTACATAGAATCATGTGCAAAACAGTGTAGACGAGATCATTGATTGGCGCGCTAAAATATCCCATTGACTGGGTCAGATTAGGTGAACGTTCGTCTGTAACGCCCACAACTCACGACGTATTTATTATAAACATTTAAACTGTGGGGTTGTCAAAGGGTCTCAGTATATATACGAACAACAGTGCACAGTTTATTATATACATATTTATTTGCGATCATAAAATGTACAAAGTCGTCCATTACTATGTAAATTGGGTCGATTAAAAAAAAAGCTGAATATGTTTCTGTTGCCAAGGGTTTTTCACAAGTATAGTAGTTACCAAACTATACATTTTACCTATTCAAAAACATAAAGGCTTGATCCAAATAGCCTTTTTACTGTCTAATAACTTGCAAGTACGAAAAAGACAGGAAAGAAGTATATTTTGTCTATATGTTTTGTGTTTACACACTTTTTAAAGTTGATCATGCATGCGTTCTAAAATAAAATTTTGATCAGATAAAAGTTAAAAGATGACATAATTGGACAACCGCAATTGTTAAATCGCTTTGACGTCCGAAAAAAAGATAATAATCAACACATCCATTGTAACCTTTAAAGCCAGTTAAATCCTTTTTTGCTGAAAGAACGTGCGATATCATAAAAATTGATTATCAAAACATAACAAAACCACAAGTAAAGAACGTTTAAGTATTCAATATAAATCAAAACACAAAGGTTATTCCTGATTAGTTTTTCGAATTATTTTATTTAGGCACTGAGACCCTTTGGCAACCCCACAGTTTAAATGTTTATAATAAATACGTCGTGAGTTGTGGGCGTTACAGACGAACGTTCACCTAATCTGACCCAGTCAATGGGATATTTTAGCGCGCCAATCAATGGTCTCGTCTACACTGTTTTGCACATGATTCTATGTAAATCATCATAGAAAGTAAGTCCATAGTACATCAGCAAAATTGAGACAAGTACATTTAGCTGATATTTTGAATCATTTGACAAACTTAAAAATAATAATAATGGTAAAAAAAAAGAGAAAACTAACCTGGGTAGCATGGATTGGGTAGATATATTTATTACTGCAGTACTATTATAATTGTTTAGATGTAAGTTGCATTTTAAATTAATTTCTGAATAAATGACATTTTACTCAACATGATGAGTTTCATTTGTTCCGGAAAAAATTGCAAGTATTGTTGGTCGAAAGAATATATTTCTGAATTTGAATAGTCTCACATTTGTAAAGTTATCATGGTGTTTTAATTTCCCTTTAAGGTTATCTCACCCTAAGGTACAGTGTTAACTGTTTGCCATCACTTGTCGTATGTGGTCTGTTGTCCGTTAACCTTTCCAAAAAATATGTCCTTTGAAACTACTCAGCCAATCCTCAAATACACTGTTACCAATTAAGTGCGTTCTTGTCTATCATCTTGGAAACTGTAATAGAGAATTTTTTATAGTGGAAATTTCCAGCGATACAAGATATTAAATGCAAATAAATACAAATATACAAAGGTCGAAAAATTCAGTCCTTATAGGAGTAATTGCCCTTAAAGGAATATTTTTTACCATTTTTGCATTTTTTGCTTTTATCTTGAAAATTATAAAAGATAGAGCGGCACTTTATAATCAAATATAATCTACAATATCAGATTTTTCAATAAATCTACACGGTCAAAATATCAAGTCAAATACTTATAGGGCTTAAAAGACAGACAAATATGATAAATAATCGAAATTAAAAGAGTTGTCGTCCTTTAATGATGATTTTTACCATTGTTTTGTATTTTTGGGTCTTAAAAACTATAAAGAATAGAAATTAAAAACCAATTGTTCAGAGAACAATTGAAGGTCTTTCCACCCGAAACGATACTAATATATTAAAATCCAGTTTAAAATGTCATTTCCAGTGTCAAATGATAGCTTATGGTATGCTGATTTTAAAAATATACGGTTTCTATACACTTTTCTTTGATAAAAGGAATATAATTTGTTACTTCCGGTCTGAAAAATGTCACTTTCAGAATTATTTTATAGTTTTTTTGACACTGATTCCAAATATATATGGTTCTATATACTTTTACATTAAATAAGTACAAAAAATAGCTACTTCCGGTTTACACAAGGTCATTTCCGGTTGCAATTTTCAAGGTCATATGGATTGCAACCTAATGTAAAAAGTCCCATGGCTTTATCATGTATTAATATGAAGTTTAAGCAAAGGTCAAAATCTAGAACGTAAAATTCAACTTCGACCAAGGTAAAAAACCAAGGACCTCAAATCAAAAGACCCTATGTCTTTATTATATTTGGTTAATGAGTAATACCACCATATATATAATTTTAAACATATAGAGGGAGAAAACTTAAATTTTAAGTCAATATACCCTTCCAAACAAAATTTACATGTTACGACATGTCGCAACTTACAATTTAGTAAAAATAATTTGTCGATATCATATACAATTTTTGAAAAGAAGTGAAAATAAGCCAAAATCTAAATTTAGTATATGACCTTGACCTTATTTTCTTTTTTTTTTGGTCCAAGGACCTCAAATCAAAATACCCTAGTTCTCTATCACTCATGGTTTACCAATTACAAATTCATATCACTTATATCAAATGCATAAGGGGAAATAACTCTCATATGGAATCTCTATACCGCTTCGGTCAAAATTAATCAAAACATCCTGATGATATAACAAGCAATTTGGTAAAATAAATTTGTCATAATCTTTTACGGTTGCGAAGGAGTAGTACACACAAGAAAAACAGTGTTCGGGGAGATAACTCTTACAAAATAAAATATTCGTTTTTTAAGCGGTGTCAGTTTCAAAAGCGTATAAACTGTTCGATATCATATACCAAAAATCTAAGCGACATATTTTGAATTAACAATACAGCGGAAGAAAAAAATTAGGCGGAAGAAAAAACAAATAATCATAACAAAAGTAAAAGGTCTTTCCACGGAAAAGTGGAAAGACCTAATAAACTTTAAACTGCACAAAGTATAAGCAAGACTGAATAACGAAAACATCAACTGGCCAAAATCATCAGTCCACTTTTTTTTAGGAGTTTTTGCCCTTCAAAGTAAAATATAACACATTTTTGTTTTTTGGCGAAAACTATAGTTGATACTTTAAATAGCAAAAGTATCAGCAAGATAAGATATACTAATAAGTTAAATAACAGAAATCATCAGTCTTTAAATGATGTTTGTTCACCAATTCCAGTATTTTTCACCAAATATCTTGATTTTTTTACTTTAGTTGTTGTCCATGCATCACAATTTTAAGAAATTATTTTTCTTATTTGCCTATTATAACCTTGGAAACAATAATGAATAGACAAATATCTATATGGATTTTCTAACCCAGGAATATATTACCTTATGAGTATTTGGTAAAACCTCTCAGAATATTTGATCCTCGATGCTCTTCGACTTCGACCTTTATTTGGCCTTATTAACCTTTTTGATTCGAGCGTTACTTTTGAATCTTTTGAAGACGAAACGCTCGTCTGGCGTACACGTTTTTAATCCTGATATCAATGAAGAGTGTAATGATACTAATTTAAGTAAAAATGATTATGATGTTTCTATTTGTTATAAATATACTTGCATTGTATCAACTATATGCAAAAATAGATGAAATACATAATCTTTAAAGCCTCTGTGATACCTATAGCGCCATGCCATATCAATGATATTTTTTAAACTATATTCAAACTATAATATGTATCGTCATTGATTCGTTGTGATATATCAGTTTTCAAATATCGAGTTTCTAGAAAGCAAGCTATTTCCACTTCAAATTACATGTTTTAGTTTGCAATAGTATTCTGCACCAATGAAATAATCGTCGATGGTGAATAAACAGGGAATAAGTTAACGCGGCAAAGCAATTTCAAAGAATATTCAATGGAAATCTGATCCAAATAAATTATACGTAGACATATTTGAAACGATTGTATTAGTGTAGGAAGGTTATTTGAGTGACAAGATAAGCATTCAAGGTAACAAGTACATATACTATTATTGTGCTCTAAATAACAAAATGGGGACAAAGTTGTTGTCCTTTTTAGTGTGTTTTCATTCTTTGCTTTGCCTTAGTCGCTGTGAAGGTGATGATCGAGTTTCAAGATTGGAAAATATGCTTACTATTCAAACCAGACAAATAGAAGAATGGACAAACCGTGTTGCGACTCAGAGTGAGACAATATCAC